CAGTTAACTAGTGAACAGTAAGAAGACAAGTGTGCAGGTGCCAAGGTTCCATGAGATCCTAAAGCAAATACAAATATCGGATACTTGACTGACGTTGTTGATTTCGACGAGTAACTATTAGTTCCCATTATGTTGGAATAGAAAACGACTAGGTAAGTTAAATACAGAACGAACAGTATGAGGCAGAATATATGGAGAGTAAATAAATCTGATCGCTGATTGGGATCAGTTATACATCTAAATGACGTAAACTAATTGTATTTGGCTATGATATTCACTGCTCGCGATTCACTTGTCGAATTTATTATTTTATTTCTTTGCTTTCCCGGTGGAACACATGGCTTCAGTCTAGAACTTGGAAGTTACTGTAGCAGTGGTGTTTTTCTTAAGAAGTGGGGTTGCTGGCTTTATGCCCAACCTTCCTTCTTTACAGGTCTTATTGCCGGCTTAACGAAGTAAAGGAGTGAGTCGGCCGGGGATCAAGCCCCACAACACATGTTTGGTTGGCGAGGAGAGGAATACTGTTTCATTGGTGGCACAGAATCCAATAAACCTTCCGAATAATAGCCCACTTATACACTTAAACATTGCTCCTACACGCATGCCGTATCTGTGGGCTTCACTATAAGAAATACAGCTACAACAGACTGTTAAATAGACTTTAGAGTATACTTTGAGGATCATCAACTAACAATATCAAGCTCGTTGACTGTTCCAAGTAACTGGTTGAATACCTCCATTGTCACAATGTCAAACACACTACATTAAGTTGTGCTGAATTCATTCTTTGATCTCTGTACACTTATTTCCATCAGATGTTGCTAAGATGCATAGTGACATTTCAACCGGACAACATCATCTGATTCGACCTACTGATAATGTTGTCGTAGTTGCCTAGACTAAATGTTTGATTAACGAAGAACCAACAAACAAGGGGAAACAAGGGGTTTAACGACAGCAACTAACCACTAATCAGATAATCTATTACTTCAATATTAAAATATTATCATCTAAACCCTGTCTTTTATTCCTAGTAAAAGGAAAATTAATAATAATAATTAACCCAACCTAGAGATAAATTTATGTGCATACCTATTCAGTGATATTGGTTATAATAACAAAGGAGTCAGGAAAGTTAATCTGATTTCCATACCTACCTACCAGGCCTTACTAGACCTGACTTCAGTGAAACAGGTGGGCGAATGTTAGAGTAAGAGGTTGGTGGAGAGAGGTATATTGATATGTTAACAAAAATATTTGCAGACATCAACCGAGGTCACTCACACCCACATACACACACATTCAATGATGATCTTACTTAATCCTTTTGTGTGCTGGTTAGTTGCTAAGTTGAAATCGCAAAATCGAGTACTAGAAATGGGTAATATAGGTGTATGTATATAAGGATTTATCATGATTTATTTTCTATAACAGTTCTATAAATCACATCGAACATGCATCCAATTACTCTTCAGCCAAAAAGGTAGACCCAATTTATCAAAAGAGAAATAGTCTACTACATGTATAAGGTTCGAGGTCAGCTTGAAGCGTGAATAAACTTCAGTCTAGAGAACAGACAACATTACGAATATGCCTATAAATAATATTATCTTAAGATAACAATTTGTACTGAAGGTAGGAAAAAAAATCAAATATATCATTTTGTAAAACTGAAAAGAAAAGAAAACATAGGAAGCTATGAACAATCAGTTCCACAGAGAAAAGTAAAACAGTAAGGAAATTATAGCACCATTGATAGTTTTCTATTATTCAGAAGGGTTTATTCATGCCACTCCCTATATATGATGGTTAGTGTACAAGAACATATGTTAAGAAAAACTCTACATGTAGCAAGTTACGCTTTAGATAGATTTTGCCTAGTTGTTTTTCAGTCCTTGAAAATAATGTTCTCCATATCGTCGTCTTTCAGACAATGAAAGTCTGTAAAAGTGAAGTATACTTAAACGGCCGCTAATTCAATAGTACTACAGCCTGCATTCTACTTGCAGATTCTCTTGATATACAGTTTGATGCGTAAGTTATAAATCCCATTACGGTTTAGCACTAATGCTAGCTTAAATCTACCCGAGTGTTAGCCACTACCTTGCATCGTAGTAGGGATTGTAGATCTCAGTTACCAAACGAGTAACACTAGCCTGGAACTAATGTTCCCGCATATTCTGCCATGCCAGAAAGGTCTTTTCAGTAGCGACTAGGTTGAGAGCAGTTACCCTCATAGTATAGGTCATTTACACTATGTTTGGGTTCTGTGGGCAAACTCGTACCTACTGGAGAACTGGGATGTAACCGCAGAAAAGGTGTTTTCTTCAGATGACCAGTACGCTGCCCGTCCACTAAGAAGGAGGGTAGGCTTAGAAAAGGTCGACCCCGAAAAATGTACATCCTGACTTATCACCTTACGGCTATCCGTAACCAGCGGTAAAATCTTAATTTTTTTAATTTCAGCTTGATCCCACACTGTATTTTATTAGTAAGGTGTGGAATTTTCAGCATATGATATCGGTAGTCCGAATTTTGTAGGCCGACCATAGATATCAGGTGTGTGCCGGCAGGGGATCGAACCCCGGACCATGTGCATAGTCGGCGAGAGTCCTAACCACTGTGCCACCGACGCAACTCCAAAAATCGCTTCCGGAAACAGAAACTTATAAAACTTGAAGCCAAATGTTAAAGCCAATGTATCGCAGTTTTACACAACATATCATATGAGCAGCACACAATGAAAAGAAAGGGGGAGTGGTCATACTGACAAAACAAACAACTTAAACACTAATTCGCGTGTTATAAAACTTTGTTCAAAATGTATCATTGCTTCTTTTTTGTTGACACGGTATTTTAAAGCCATTTCTATAATCATTTTGCTTATCAATAATACACACACACACACTCACATAGATCTCTAATCGGGTCTAGTAAAAAACCGACTAATCGATTTTTAAAATCAATTCGCTATACAGCTGTGATAAGATAAAAGTGGTTGAAAGTACATTCATGAAATACAGTATCAAGACGATTTAGTGTTCAGATCATGTGAACGAAAATACCATAACCCTAATGACATTGGCTGTTTCTTTGTTTCTGTAGTCTTGCACACCAATGTATTTAGTTAAACAAGACATGATATATATATATATTCATATGTCAGTCAAATCGATGTGATGACCATCATTGATTGACAAAGATGTCACCTAACGTAAAAAAAATAGAGCAACCTTAACTATCAAACAGTATAGACACACAAATTAATTAATTAATAATATGTCAATCTCTATATTTATCTTTACAACTAAATCTTTAAAACACTATAAGATATGAAACGCACTATATGCTTATTTATCATTATTCCTCTTTTTTCTAACAAATATGAATGCATACGTATTTTACCGACTGTAAGTCTAGAAATAATACTGTAAAAGGCAGACAGACGTATATAAGTAGAATTGAATATGCACGCCATACACATTCAAACATTTGAACATTGTACAAAATAAATATTTAATTAAAAATGCTAAGGAGAATGAGATGTATATTAGCAATAGAGTTTAGTTTATTTTTGTTTTCCTTCTAGGTGTATTTCAGCAACAATAACAGAGAAAGCAACAAGAACAACAGCGCAGCACTAGGCAAAATTGTAATTTTCAATAAGGATGTACGCGGCTATGCAGGCTAGCTAGCGCAGTAGCACTACTATCAAGCTACCTATAATGAAAAACAAAGTGGCCAGACAAATCATTAAAGACTCGTGAGAAATGAACAAAGATGTTATGATTTCGACGCTTTGTCTAGTCATTTTGTATAGTGATTTTATCCCAGTGTTTTGAATGTACATATTCAATTTCTCAAATCATATAAGTATACGAATAAATAAAACGCGATAGCCGTACTACATATGAGTGGAAACAAAGCTATGGTGTCGAACGCTGGTCATCAGACTCATTCGTGTTCATTTGATAAGTTTAAATTATAGCAGCTACTCCGGTACAACAGCCTAGACAACCAACTGGAATTACAGGTTCTATAACCAAGTCAAATTATGCCTTCCCTCATGAATTTACTTATTGGATTTCTTTAAGATTGAAAATTTGATTACTGTGTGGGTTACTAAAACATTTATTTGGGGGGGGGATAAGCTTGGCAATATGACTGGACTCCAGAGAGTTGGAATTTTGGGGTATAACAAAGAACAGAAACAGAAATACAGACGGATCTCAGATCTATAGTCATCTCTTTTTTAACAGTTTCGCTATTCCTATCACTCCTTAATTCTGATTAGTTGTTTAAAATCAGTGATAAGTTTGGTCGGAGTGGCTGCTATAGCTTAATTTCACCAGAATGTTTCTCGAGTAATGGTGGCTAGCAATGGGATATAGGATGTGCATTTCGTCCCGTTGGGGACTCGTTAGTTAGATGCACATGCATCGCAATGAGTGATGCTTCCACTACGACTCTAACCCACAACCCAACAGCACAGAATAGCGGTTACCGGTTAAATCCAGAAACAGAGATTTCTGCAGCAGTTTACGGAAAGAAAAGAAATATTGCTTATTTATGATAATGGAGGTGTTACGAATAGGAATGTGTTAAATATCTCGGTTGCCAGTCAATTTGTAATACGACTGAATAAGACACTGATTGATGTATAAGGTATCAATTTATATTTACCGGGTAACAGTAGCTTCGATAAAAAACCCGCTTGGCTACACAAATTCAAAACGAAACGTTCGGACAACACAAAGACGCGACGGAATTTCACTTTGAGTTTCAGAAGTCGGAATATGGCTATCTACAACTTGACAGACACATGCAATCTATAAAAGGAACCAAAATATTATTGGAACCTGAGGTAAAAAAAAAGACTGTCTCCTAAGCAGGTAAAAACGCATACTAATAAGTATATTTATTACCCCGTTACTAATAAAGAGTACTTTGTAAAAACGATTAGCTCAATGACGAACAGAAAATATTATGTACACACTTACCTGTCAGAACTGTAGATTTATAATTAGTGGGATTTATACTTCGTCTTGTGGAATAATATTTACATTTGTTCTTTAGTAAGCGATTTAGTTCTAAGTGTTCAGCGTGAATAATCCGACCAGGCATAGCCCATGAAGTTACAAATTTATCAGAATTATAAAGAACACAAAACTGATAATTATTTATCCAAGAGTATCATTTAAAAAATTATAAAGTCTTAAAATCCACATGAGATCAAAGATCAAAATTATGTATGTGATTCATTGTGCATACGTTATTCCTCCAAAGTGGTGTTTAGTTTAGAAATTAAATATGTGCAATAATCACAATTGTTCGTGTGACTAGTTATTCATTTTGTATGGACGAATGAAATGTGAGAAATTCGACTTATCTAATTGGTTAATTTTAAGCGAATCAGATATCAGTATATCTAAGTCACATGTTTTACCTTAAGAAGGTTATTTCTGGTATAGAAATTTGTAGATCGGACAATGTTGTGCCGACTTCTGTCATTCCGTAGTATCGTTTGATGTAAAGCATGGACTGAAACTGAACTATGTATTTCGCAAAATAAAAAAGTCTGATTACATATGAAAGACAACTGGTATATAAATTACGAAAACCTGTTCCCAGTCAGGAATTTCAGTATGGTCTTAATTTCGTTTAATGTAGTAGACATCTTATTTAAGCATACAGAAGTCAAGCGCATTTAGTTACATGTGGTGGCTAAGATGAACTTCAATTCAAGTAGGATAAAAAAAAGTGGTTTTAGCAATGAACAACAATGAAACAAACAATGGTCAGAAGCTCTTCAAACACTTCTTTTTCCCAACAGAAGACAGTTCAACAGTAAGGTTTATCAGTATACATTGATAATCGCCAGATCGATATTGTGAAAGCCAGTGATCCTAAACCAAATAGATCTTAACAAGTATCCTAGATTACTGTTAAATATTCAAGTATTGGTTTTGTAGGGATTTTGTTTGATTGCATGGAGGATTTCAACATGAGCTGACATCAGTTTGAGAACCACTGAAAAACCTGGGAGTACTGGACAGCAATTTCATCAACCTGTGTCTTCAGCAGTAAGTCGGTGGCACAGTGGTTAGGACTCTCGCCGACCATGCTCATGGTCCGGGGTTCGAGCCCACGCCGGCGCACACCTGATATCAATGGTTGGCCAGCAAAATTTGGGCTACCGATATCCATGCTGAAAATTCCATACTTGTACCAAAAATACAGTGTGGAATCAAGCTGTAAATTAAAAATTTAAAAAATTAAATTAAAATTAAGTACCCATCACCAGGGTTCGAACCTAGCATCTTCTGGTTACAATGCGAGCTAGGTCCTAGACCATTCGGTCACTGGGACCTGATCCAGTGGCCAGCCCATGAATTCTAACTTCTGCCAATTCACGACACAACGCGACCACTTTGCAATGTCTTCTTCGATGAGTTACTGCCTCACCTTCAACCTGCTGTAACCTACTGGTCACGGCTTCCCTATTCAGGCAGTTAGCCTGGGGTTCTAGTGGGAAGCCGTGACCAGTAGGTTACATAAGGTTGAAGATGAAGCAGTAACTCATCGAAGAAGACATTGCGAAGTGGTCGTGCTATGTCGTGAATTGGCAGAAGTTAGAATTCAAGAACCATTGGATCGGGTCCCGGTGGCTCGATTTTCTACGAGGTCGCTTGCCTTGTGACCAGAAGTTCCTGGGTTCGAACCCTGGCGGCGGGTGCGTACTGCTGAAGAGTCCTAAACTAGGAAGGAGGAGACAGCTCTCCAGTACTCCCAGCTGGCTTTCTAGTGGTTTTCCAACTGATGTCAGCTCATGGTGAAATCCTCCATACTGTGAAATAACTTCTGTTCTAGTCATTCTCACTGAAACAGTTGATTCAAGTTAATTTTATGTTCACTTTCTCCTTGTAAAGTCAAACAATCATGAGCTATTTCGAATCTGCATGACAACTGATAAAACTGTCTTTTACGAATTGATCAAGGATTGATATCAGTTAGAGAACCATTGAAAATCAGGGAGTACTGGACAGCTGTTTCGTCCGTCCTAGCCTGGGACTTATCGGCAGTACTCACCCACCAGGGTTCGAAACAGGACCTTCTGATTACAAAGTAAGCTGTCCATTACTCCCTTGTTTTCAATTGTTTTCTAACTGACATCAATCCATGATCAACTCCTTAAAGCAAATCTAGTCCTTACGAACCAACTATTGAAAAACTCTCTTTCTAAATTATAGAAAGGCATGTGATTTATTATGCACTGGGTAAACTGATATTATTTCAGTAATGTAAAATTATGCTGACCATTATTAGGAAGATCCCGTAAATATAAATTCTTTTTAGTTTGGCGGGATATTAAAGACATAAATTTTAATCATTTCATCAGATAAATAAGTGCTGGATAATTAATTTATAGTTCCACTTTTTTATGAATAAGAAAATTAGGCTAAACAGTATTGAAAGTCAGTCAAAGTTTTGCTGTGATAACCGGAAGGTACTGGATTTGAAACCCAGTGGATGCGTACTGCCGATGAGTCCCGAACTAGGACGAAACAGATGTTTAATACTCCATGGTTTTTAATGGTTCTCTAACTGATATCGATTCGTGGTCTAACCTGAAACATATAGAATCCCTACAAACTAATTCTTGAAAAGTGATAGCAATCATTACAGACATACATAGTAGATTGTGACACGAGCCAGTACTATCTAAAACCAATACAATTTGCGAGATCTGTAAATAATAGGTTTGCAGGTTTTCACAGATAGGCAAAAAATGAAATCTACTCATTTGGGAAGTTCAGAAAACATGACTTATATTATTCGTGTGGAAGACTTTGATGATCGTTTATTATAGGAAAGAACTAATAGTCACTGGTTTATTGAAATCACTTTGAGTTTCTTGTTGATTGATTTCCCTGGACAGAGATGTTTAGTCTCTATTCTACTATTGGTAGTAACATTACCACCTACTCGAAATGCAGGTACATTTAATTGAAAAGTCCCAAAATAAGATGAACCATACGTCCTGAATACCACTGCTAGAGATCACCAACCAAATAATATTATAGGATTTCATCATGAGCCGACATTAGTTAGGGAACCATTGGAAAACCTGGGAGTACTGGACAGCTGTTTCGTCCTAGTGTAGCAGGTTGGGTGTGAGGACAAATACTCGCCACCTATGACATTGGCTAGGGGTCGCACTATGTCGTGAATCGGCAGAAGTTAGAATTCATGGGTTGGCCACTGGATCGCGTCCCAGTGGCTTAATGGTGTACGAACTCGCCTTGTAACCAGAAGGTCCTGGGTTCTAACCCTGGCGGTGGGTTCCTACTGCTGAAGAGTCCCAAACTAGGACGGAACAGTTGTCTAGTACTCCTAGGTTTTCCAATGGTTCCCTAACTAATGTCAGCTCATGATGAAATGCTGTAACCAATCAAATCCCTACAAACCAACACCTGAATACCAAATAATATTATATTGATCAGTGAATTAGTACAATACACTACATTTATTATTCAACAGTTAAGAGCAAAGAACACTTCAGATGTATTAACACAGCCGAGAAAATTAAATAAGGGTTAAAAATACATCCTGCTTTGCCAACCGAATACTTTCAGTCTTTGTAATCTAGTCTAACACCATCTTAACTCAACTGTTTAACTGATAAAAGCAGTTGACTATATAAGACAGACTGTTAAGCCTTTCAGCTTCATGGTTTTATCATTGGACTAGAATTCTAATGTATCTAAATAGCCTACCAACATTTGTTTTATTGTCAGACGTAAAATACCTGATTCGATTTTATATGATCATGCTCAGGTCAAGTAGCTGGCCAAAAATACGCTTGGCATGAACAGTTTATTTACTAGAGGTAAGTCAGTTCGGTATACAATTGATGTGATGTACCTAAAATTAGTGAAACAATTGTCGAGTGTTTGGATTTCTTCTATGTGGCCAGTTAGTTTAAATAGCTTTCAAGTACTCAATGCATTAGTGGCATATACTAAGCAAAAACGTCATAGATTACGATCCAAATACCTCTTATTTCGAAAAGCAATCCATAATAATGTCTCATTTTATAGTGGACATTTTGCAAATATCTGAGCTAATTCATAGGCCATTGAATCTGTTACCAGTGGCTTAATTGTACACTAACTCGCTTGCCTTTTAACCATAAGGTCTTGAGTTCGAGCCCCGGTGGGTGAGTCCCAAACTAGGACTAAACAGCTGTCCAGTACTCCTTGGTGGTTTTCCAATGGTTCTCAAACTCATGTCAGCTCATGATGAAGTCCTCTAACCAATCAAACGTATTTATTTGTTGTTTGGTGTTTACGTTGATGAGACTGCTCATCAATAAACTGAAATGACTATTAATGTGAGTCTCGTTTGAAACATTTATTCTTATCACCGAATATGTATTTACCAAATGCGTTTTCTGTCTAATACAAACCATTAATCATGAAGTGACCATTTCTATTTATTGATACTTATGTTAATGATTAGGCTATTTTTCCAACTTTAAGGTTTAGGTCGTTTAAAAAAAATATTATTTTAGGTCTATGAGCATTTAAATAAAGTGATTTACAATTAACAGATTGTATGCGGGCAGTTCAATAACAGTGTTTATGAACATAATGTCGTGTAATACAAACTCAAATGGGTTTGTTCAAACGTCTAAGTATCTTTCACCAGATAGGGATAATGGTTACTTTGTATGATTGTATTATATTATGCGACATAAATTTAAACGATTACAAAGTCCAGTCATCTAGTCTGGTGATTTATTGGGGGAAATCAATCAGCTAATTATTGATGATGATGATAATAATAATAATATTAATAAAATGAAAGTAGATTTCGTCACGAATCGACATCAGTTAGAGAATGATTGAAAACTGCATAACACTGGACAGCTGTTTCACTCCACTTTGGAACTCCTCAGCAATTCTCAGTAATCAGCCAAACCAGCGATGAAACCAATGATTTTCAATTAATGGGGCAAACTCGTTGACCATCCGGCCCATAGGCTAGAATCTAATGATCCGTGAATTCCAAATGTGATCCTGGATTGGATTCATTTAGAGAATCATTGAAAACCAGGGATC